GATCCTATTACCCAGCCCTATTATAAAGCCTGGGGCAGCTGCAGGCAAAGGGAATGGGGAGTGGGGACCAGGGGAGAGCTGTGCTGCCTGCTGCAGAATTCGTGTCTGCAGGGGTGTCCCCAGGGCTCTGCCTGCCCTGCTGGGGTGTCACTTGTTGATGGATGTTCCTGTGGCCAAAGCCGTGACCAGAATATGTCGAGGTTGCCATGGCAGCAGGAAGAAGGAAAAAAAAAAAAAGGAAGAAAGCAAGGAATACGTATGGGAGTAGTGAGCTTTAAAAAAAAAGAAGACAAACAAAAAGCCAAGAGCATCCCAATGCCAGCACTGACCTGGTGGAAATGCCCAATCCCCCTGGGTCCCCCTGGGTTCCAATTGAGTGCCAGTTCCCAGGGTAGGTGGGCAGTAGCCCTTGAAGCCATCAAATCTCCAGTGGCATCCTGGGCAAGGTGGGTGGACATGGAGCAGTCATGGGAGGAGGAAGCCTTAGAGCCTTTATAACGCTCTTAGAGCCAGACAGGAGCAGCTCCAGGACACCCATGAGGCCATCAGAGGGGATTTGTTCCTAATTTTCTTGAGTAAAACCCCACTGCATGACCAACACAGGACCCTCCAAAAGAGTAGCATCAGCCCATGCCAGGGAAGTAGCAGTGAGGACAGCTCAGCCCCCAGTGAATCAGTGTCTCAAGTGACGTCTCCCAATAGATATTTTCTTTCCCAGTCCTCTCCCACACAGATCAACTGTTCATCTGTGCCAGCATCTGCTGCCGTGCCTGAGGTGGGTGGGTGGGTGCACATCTTCTTGCAGCAGGGCTGGTTCTGGATCCCCTACATGCACAGGGGGTGGATGGGCGGATGGCGATGCTTTGGAAAGGATCATGGAATCATAGAATATGCTGAATTGGGAGGGACCCATGAGGATCATTGAGTCCAACTCCTAAGAAGACCCCAAGACTCCTCAGGTGTCAAGAGACAAAAATTGGACTTTTCTGAAGTTAACCTTGGTGGCAGAAGAGCAGGATGTAGCTGTGCTGTGTAAGGGAATCACAGAATCATAAAATGACCTGGGTTGCAAAGGACCACAATGATCATCTACTTTCAACCCCCTGCTATGTGCAAGGTCACCCAACCACTAGAGAAGCACTGCTGGATACTGTGGACATACATTTGTCTTGCAGATATGGCCCCAGACGAGGACAGATGCTGCCCTCTATGAGCCTACCTGGGAGAATGTGGGTTTCTCTCCATGCCACGTTGTCCATTTCTTGAGATGGAAAACGGGACTTTGTCAACCTGATGTGTCTTAGTGAGGATTGGTTGCAGGGCTGGGAACACGCCTGGCTCGCTTCTCTCACATCTCCTCAACACTCCCACCACCTTGGTTCATCCAAATGTGTCACTGCATGGCAACAGGCATGGAACACCCACACCAGGGGCTGGGAGCAGCAGTTCCTTGCAAGGCAATGAGTGCAGGACTTGCACCTCTGATCCACAGCCCAAAGTGGAGCACGGGGTCCCCTCGCTGCTGTCCTTCACTGTGGGACTTGCTGGCTCACTTAGCAGTGCCCCAAGCCCACCCAGACCTCCCCCAAGGGCTCAGTGGGTCTTTCTGGCCCAGCTGTCTCGTTACCCCATTGGGAAGTGATGCTATGGTGGGTGCTGACACTGGATGCCCTCCGTGAAGGCTTCTATTCCTACACCAGGTTCCCCACGTTCCTTTCCAAGCTTTCCAAGCTCCTTCCCAAAGCTCTGAAGTCCACGTGGTGCTGCCACCTGCACAGGAAGCCTTCCAGAAACCTGGATTTCACCAAGCCCTGGGTGATGCTTATATAGAGATGATGGTCAACGGCACCAGTTCCACGAGGGCCGCATCTACATTAGCACATAACAGATCAGGGTGATGAGAACAGCTCTGTTAAGCACTGGGTATCATGTCAGTGACACAAAGAATGCAGGGAAGCAGGCTGACTACCTAAGTTATGCAAAGTGCCTTACCTGGAGACAATTTTCCCGTGCAATTACCTTCATGTTAAACACTGTTACATAATGATCACAGATTTCAGGTCAAATACTCGGTACGTCACGAAAGCATGGTGTGTTTTGACATTTATGGGAGTACTTCTTATTTTTAGTTAGTTTGGTTTCCATGGCAGCGTGAAGAAGTCTGCACCAGGCGCAGCTATACATTAGATTTTGGCCTCCCACTTGATACATCCAAAAACTTTTAAAGTGATTTTCCTCCAGCTCTGAGCCATAAGCCACCACGGGTGGAGCGAGGCTGGGAAATGAAATAACCTGCATGCTGCTCTTTAATAATGATGTTCCTGAAGCCCTTCTCTGCGTCGAACGTAGGCGCTCATTGGGATATGAAGTTTTATTTGCTTGGGTATCACAGCAAAGCAGACTGCACTGCAGAGGTTCATAGAGGTGGAGTGGGTTTGCATCGTGATGCATGAGCTAAAAGCAAGCAGAAATCGTTGGAAAACAGGGATATCATAGAATGGCTTGGGTTGGAAGGGACCCCAAGGATCATCAAGTTCCTGCCAGGTCTGCAGGACCGGGGAAAGCTTTGCCAGCAGGGATGTGAGCATGGAGCACGGGGAATGGGTGGCTCCAATGGGTGCTCTGTGCCATGCAGAGGCAGCACTGTCTGCAGGGATGCCGCATCTCCAGCCCTGAAAGCTTCCAGCAGAGCCCTCAGCCAGCAGAGAGTGGGGAAGAAGACAGCCAGGCTGTGGGAGGAAGGACAGATTGCTCGGGTGGGATGAGTTCAGTGTTGCTGTTCTCCGAGATGAGTCACGGGTTGGGAAAGTGGGGCATTAATCTCAGGGGAGATGAGTAAGTGGGCAGCACAAAGGCAGCGGTCAAAGGAGCATCACAAATTATCCCTGCAGCTCAGCTCTTCCTGTGTATTAGCAACAGCTAATGAAATCAGAAACTGTCCGATAAAGCCCGAAGAAAAACAGGATGGAAATAAATGATGTCACCTCTGAAAGCGCTCAGCAAATACAGGATGCTGGTGTGCCACCAGCCTGGGTCAGCCTGGCTGATTTATCTTCCACAGTGTATGCCCAGCAGAATGGTGCTGGGAGGTGATGGGGAGATGTTGTCACCATGGTCACTGCCAGCATCTCCAATGCAAGCCCTGTCTGTTAAAGGAAACGGCCATCAAACATCTGAAATGGTTACATCTCTATGGTCCCACTGTGTTTCTCAGGAGGCCATGTGGCACCGTGGCACCAAAAGGACACCCAGATCCAGAGCTACTGCTCAGCAGCCAGAGAAGCTTTGTGTCATCGTTTTGGGAACGGATGGGACAGATGCAGTCAGACGCTGCCTGTGATTCAAGCAGCTCCTGACTCAGAGCCACTGAAGTCAGCAGAAAGCCTTTACGTGATGCTGCTGGGCTCGAGAGTCAGCCCCAACCCCCAAAATGGTGAATTTCATGAGACCCAAGGGATGCTGCTTGCCCAGAATGCGTGACACAGTTGTGATGGCACCCATGCCACCACCTACGCATGGAGGAACTCCTCAGGACCACTTGAGTTCAGTGGAATCCAACACCTGCAATAAGATGGCACCTTTCCTTGCAGACCCTTATGAACAGACAGGAGGTGCTTCCAACCTCCAGAGCTTCTGCATTTCAGAAACAGTGCTACAGGGCCAGAGGTTTCACAGAATCACAGAATCACACACAGAATGGCCCGGGTTGGAAGGGACCTCAAGGATGATGAAGCTCCGACCCCCAGCCACACACAGGGCCGCCAACCTCCACATTTCACAGCAGCCCAGGCTGCCCAGGGCCCCATCCAACCTGGCCTTGAACACCTCCAGGGATGGACGGGGCATCCACAGCCTCTCTGGGCAGCTGTTCCAGCACCTCACCACTCTCACAGCAAACAACTTCCCCCTGACATCCAACTGAAATCTGCCCTCTTTCAACTCAAAATCATTTCCCTTTGTCCTGCTAGGGGACACCTTTCAGAAGTGGTGGATCTTGTGCTGGTTGTCTCTGCTTTAGTGCTGGAAATTTCAGAGCTGGGATGCTGTAGGATACCTCAACAGGAATTTCTGCTGGAGGCCTCGGCACCAAGCATGGGCTTCATGACCTGGAAGGATGGAATGAGGATGGGATGTAGAACTAAAGGTGTGCACACAGGGACGAATCAACCAGGATTTCTGCTGTCAGCCAAGAACTCATCTGCTCAGAGTGGCTGAGAGGAAGGAGGACCAGGCTTTATTCACTGAGTATGGGATGAATTGGGCTGCCATTGTCTTAAAGGAATAAAAAAAGGCAACTGTCATCCAAGGACATGTCCACTGAGATGGTCCCAGTAGGCACAGGGAAACACGATACAGAGACCCTGTGCAGAGCTCACTTCTGTCCATGGAGCAGGAATGCCATGCATGGGTGGAAGTGTCCCTCTGGAAGGAGGGGGCCCTGAGCCCACCCACCCTCCTTCATCTCTTTGAGGTGTTACAGGAGTGCCATGAAGCCTGCAGAGCTCTCTGTCTCACCTCATTCCTCTCTGTTATTTCTTAGCTCTAGCACAGCTCAGAGCCTCCCCAATCAACCCAAACTCACCCTCCTGGCTGCACATTACCTGCACACACCCTAAAATCCCACCCAGGACCGAGGAGCCCATGCAGCACACAGCAAAGGTGGGAGCAGCCAATTTACCACCTTAATGATCCACCCGTGGGGGGGAATTGAGGCGGGCTCCTTTCTGCCCCACAGATGGATGTGCCGGCGCGATGCCGGCAGATTAATTAGCGACAGGCAGCCTTCAGCATCACATCCTGCTGCTCCTCGCTCTGATCTAAGATGAGAAACCCATCGATTTCCCCAGCCCTGCCTTCCTCGTGTCCTACAGCCCGGCTGGAGGATGTGGTTGGGATGAAGGCTGGGATGAAGGCTGGGATGAAGGCTGGGGAGGACACGGGAGCGCATCCCGACCCCCAACTGCTGCCATTTCCCAATGGGTCTGACAGAGCCACTGCACCGTCGTGGTTTTTCAGCACGGCCCGGCACCCCGCCGCGCTCCCGGCGATATCTTCACGTTCGATCTCGATTTCTGATCGGCGTCTCCCGCAGACAAAGCGAACCCTTCCCGCAGGCTGCCGGGGTGCAGAAGGGGAGCGGGCAAGCGACGGCGATAACATCACCGCCATCTTGGGGGGAACCCGCAGGGCTGGGCGGGGACGGACGGCGGCCCTGGGGGCGGCGGGGCCGTTCGCTCGGGTAAAACCGGGACTGCGGCGGAGGCGGCCGGCCGCCCCAGCGCCGACCCCGCAGCCCCGAGGACAGCCCCCCCCGCGGCGCCAGCGGACGGACGGGCGGGGCAACCAATAGCGGAGCGCCGCCCGCCTCCCCGCCGTCAGCGGACCAATGGGAGGGCGCGGGGCGGGGAGAGGCGGGGCGAGGCGGGGCGGCGTGCGGGCGGCGGGCAGTCGGCGGCGGGACGCGGTGCGGTGCGGTGCGTCGTCGGGCAGTGGCGCGGCCGGCGCCGCGCGTCGCCTTTTCCCCCTTATGGAAGAGATGGAAGAGGAGCTGAAATGCCCGGTGTGCGGCTCGTTCTACCGCGAGCCCATCATCCTGCCCTGCTCGCACAACCTGTGCCAGGCGTGCGCCCGCAACATCCTGGTGCAGACGCCGGATTCGGAATCCCCGCAGAGCCGCCGCGCGTCGGGCTCGGCCGTCTCCGACTACGACTACCTGGACCTGGATAAGATGAGCCTGTACAGCGAGGCGGACAGCGGCTACGGCTCCTACGGCGGCTTCGCCAGCGCTCCCACCACCCCGTGCCAGAAATCCCCCAACGGCGTGCGGGTTTTCCCTCCCGCCGCCCCGCCGCCCCCCGCTTCCTTGGCCCCTCCGCCTCCGCCGCCCCGCAACGCGTGCCTGACGTGCCCGCAGTGCCACCGCAGCCTGGTGCTGGACGAGCGCGGGCTGCGCGGCTTCCCCCGCAACCGGCTGCTGGAGGGCGTCATCGATCGCTACCAGCAGGGCCGGGCGGCGGCGCTGCGCTGCCAGCTGTGCGAGAAGGCGCCCAAAGAGGCGGCCGTCATGTGCGAGCAGTGCGACGTCTTCTACTGCGAGCCGTGCCGCCTGCGCTGCCATCCGCCCCGCGGCCCCCTGGCCAAACACCGCCTGGTGCCCCCCGCGCAGGGCCGCGTCAGCCGCCGGCTGAGCCCCCGCAAGATCTCCACGTGCACGGACCACGAGCTGGAGAACCACAGCATGTACTGCGTGCAGTGCAAGAGCCCCGTGTGCTACCAGTGCCTGGAGGAGGGCAAGCACTCCAGCCACGAGGTGAAGGCGCTGGGGGCCATGTGGAAGCTGCACAAGGTGAGGGGTCGCGGCGTGCGATCGCGGCGTGTTGGGTTGGAAGGGCTCTCGCGGCCCCTCCCACCCCTGCCGTGGGCTGGGTGCCCCCAGCTCGGGATGCCCACAGCCCAGCCGTGGCCTCGGGCACCTCGAGGGATGGGGCACCCACGGCTGTGAGCAGTGCCGGGGCCTCGCTGCGCTCTGAGTGAAGGATTTCCCCTTGGCATCTCAGGACAGGAGGTGATGCCTGACGTTGCAGCAGGTTGGGTAGAGCGGTGCTGCAGTGGCACGGCTGCCCAGGGAGCGCTGGGGTCACTGCGGTGTTCAGGAGCTGTGCAGGTGTGGCACTCGGTCCCACTAAGCCCTATCCCTGGTGATGATAGGTTGGCAGTTAGACTTGATGATCCTAGAGGTCTTTTCCGACCTCGTGATTCTAAATCTGTCCTTTTCTAGTTGTGAACCATTCATAGAATCATAGAACGGCCTGGGTTGCAAAGGAGCACAGTGCTCTCATCCAGTTCCAACCCCCTGCTATGTGCAGGTCGCCAACCAGCAGCCCAGGCTGCCCAGAGCCACATCCAGCCTGGCCTTGAATGCCTGCAGGGATGGGGCATCCACAGCCTCCTTGGGCATTCAGGGCAAAGCCAACCTGCAGCACATTGACAGTGAGAAAGGGCTGCCTGCCTCCTGCACACTGACTCATGGGGAGGAGGAGGAGGAGGAGGAGGGTGGCACCCCCTGAATGCTGATCAGCTCCGGAGTGCAGTCACTCCTACACAGGGCGCTGCTGGAGGAGAGGCAGCTGGAGCTGGGGACAGAACTGCCACCAGCACTCACCTCCCCCTTGTTAGGTGCAGATCCAGCACAGGTGAGCACACCTGGGCAATGCTGTGTGCACTCAGCTGCTGCAGGGTCAGCCCCTCGCGAGCCTGGTTAGTGTGGTTTGTTCTGCAGGGAGCACCTATCACTTTGCCAATGCAGTATCTCACTGATGCTGCCAGGCGTGGAGCTGCTGCCGTGTTGCTGCTGCTGAGAGTTTCCATGCATCTACCTGAAAATCAGACTGTGAAGTCACACCTGCCTTTCTGCAGGTAATCAGTTTGGTTTTGGGATAGGACAGGGCCTGAATTCACTGCCATTTCCCACTGCGTGTTTGTTAGGGGAGCGAAAAGAGTTCTGTTGGCATTAAATGTGATTTATTTATTTTAATTTGAAGGAATGATTTCACCTCCAATGCTCAGGAGCGCTCCTTGAGATGCTGTGTAGTGAAACTGCCCCAGCTTTGGATGAGTTAGGCTGCATCCTGGGTTAGGGCTGTGCATCCGGAGCCTACAGCCTGTGAATTGAAGCTGGAGCTCCCTGGGTGTTTTGGGGAACACGGCCCTTTGGCAGCGAGGCAAACCTGCAGGAGAGGTGGCTGCCCCTTTCTGCCCCAGCTCCCTGCTGTTGTGAGTGCCTGTAACACACCTACAGACCATGAGAAGAGGCAGAGGTGCCAGCTGTTGCCTTCTCTCTCATATCACAGTGCTGTGTGCAAAATAATCCTTGTGATGCTCCTTGTTTGTGACCTGAAATGAATGAGATTCTCACTGGAGCCCATGTTGACCTGAGCATGGCTTGCTGGGCTGCTGCTCCATCAAGCTGTGTCAATGCAGGGTTGCCAGGCCTTGTCAATCACTGCTGAGTCAGCGGATGGTCATAGAATCCTAGAATGGCCTGGGTTGCAAAGGCCCACAGTGCTCATCCAGCTCCAACCCCCTGCTGTGTGCAGGTCGCCAACCAGCAGCCCAGGCTGCCCAGAGCCACATCCAGCCTGGCCTTGAATGCCTGCAGGGATGGGGCATCCACAGCCTCCTTGGGCAACCTGTTCCAGTGCCTCACCACCCTCTGTGTGAAAATGGAATGGAGACCAAAGGGCTTTTAGCTCAGCTCTTTGGGAACTGCCCTGCTTTCTGCTTCCCTCTGAAAGCAAAGATGATCATTTCAGAATTGTCAGTGCTGAGACACAATATCATGTAATGCAGGGAGCTCGGATTTCTAAGCTGGAAATCCTCTCTGTTCCTTCCTTCAGCTTCGCATCAGGAAAGCTGTTGGGAAGAGGGGTGAATGTTCAGAGAAGCAAAGAAGGAAACGGTTTTAATCTGAATTGTCCCAGTTCTGTGCACATATCACAGCTGTCTGGGTTTTGCCCTGGGAAGACGTGGTGCTGCTCATCATGTCAGAAGCAGAAGCACAAGATGGAGCTGGCTCATGTATTCCTCACACATCTGAGTTCCCCTTGTTCTTGCTGGAAAGTCCATGGTGAGGGCAGGCCTGGCAGCTTGCTGATGGTGAGAAGGAGAGAGAAACCCCAAAATGAGGGAGCTGTTGGGTTGGAAGGGACCTCACAGCCCCCCCAGCCCCAAAACTGTGCTCAGGTCGTGGATCCCCACAGCATCTCTGCACTCCTTGCAGCACAGGCTGGCCCTGCTGGCTGTAGTTGCATGCTGTTGAATTGGCTGTGATGATGATTAGCAGCTAATTAGCAGCTGTGTTACCTAGCCCACAGCTCATGCACTGATGCAGCCAGGCTGAGAGATGCAGGGGAGCTCTGTGGATGATAAGCCAGATTGCTTTGTACATGTGGAACAAACTGGAGGGTGGGAAACACTGCACTGCCTGATAGCTCCTGCCTGAGGAACAGGAACAGTGGGCAGCAACAAGCAGACAGTGTTATTCATCAGCCTGCCCGGTGCTCGTGGGAAACCCCAAGGGATTGCTACCAGACAAAGGTCTGTTTGCGTTTGCAAAAGAAAATATTTGCTGCTGAGACAGAAGCAGTGAGAATCTTTTATCTTTTACTATTGCACTTTCCCAAGCCTCACTTTGCTGTCCTGGATTCCCACTGCCCTCACTCTGCCTGCAGCACAGGGGCCATCCATCCTCCTTTGGCCGTGCCATGCACCTCCCCTGCTGCTCTGTTCTCCTGTGGCCGGGAGCTGGGGGTGATGGCAGCTGCTCTGAGGTCAGAGGATGGCCAGCAATGTCACTGAGGTCAGTGGGTGTGCACAGCTTGTCAGTCATAGAATCACAGAATGGCCCGGCTTGGAAGGGACCTCAAAGATCACGGAGCTCCAACCCTCCACCACAGGCAGGGCCACCAACCTCCACATCTCACAGCAGCCCAGGCTGCCCAGGGCCCCATCCAACCTGGCCTTGAACACCTCCAGGGATGGACGGGGCATCCACAGCCTCCCTGGGCAGCTGTTCCAGCACCTCACCACTCTCACAGCAAACAACTTCCCCCTGACATCCATAAGTCCCAGTTCCAGATCTGGAAGTGACGCTGCCTTTTCGCCTGAGCATTTATTTAGAAAACAGCTTTCTGTCAAGCAGCCCTTCCTGCTGTGCTTAACCTCAGTTAACGGGGGAACGAGCATCCCAGAATATCCCATTAATCAGAGGTAATGTGGTACAGCAAGTTCTACAAGGCATTCTTGGAGCCAGCGCCGTGCTCGATGCCAGGAGACACCCACTTAGGTATTTGCAAGGAAAATGGGCTCTGGGCCATTTTGGAGCAGGGATAAATCTCTGTAGCTTTGTCAGTTCCAGTGGGAAGCCTTGAAAATGAGGTTGTGGGTGCCCCATCCCTGCAGGCATTCAAGGCCAGGCTGGATGTGGCTCTGGGCAGCCTGGGCTGCTGGTTGGCGACCTGCACACAGCAGGGGGTTGGAGCTGGATGAGCACTGTGCTCCTTTGCAACCCAGGCCTTTCTCTGATTCTGTGCTCTAGGACTTGAGAGGACAGTGCTGTGCTGCACTGTCTGTGCTTGGGCATCCCAAAGGCATCTCAGCACATGGCTGGGGTTGGCTGGGGTCAGTCCCATGGGCTGATTCTTGTTCCTCTCTCTTGGAAAGAGGAGGTAAGGCAGAGTGTCACCCAGGAGTCTCCTGTCAGCACAGCCCCAGCCTGAAAAACCTCTGAGTTAGCAACGGGAGCTGAACCTGGTGTTAACGTGGCTTACAGTGACTTGAGCATCGGTCCCTCCGTGGCTCAGGCAGTGCTCTTTGGGAGGCTGTTTGACTCCTTTCCTTATGCTCTCAGGAGGAATATCCTCTTTCCTCCAGCTCTGAAAGGAGTTCAAGGAGCTCTGCCTGAAGCTGACACCAAAACCTCACTTGAACCCTGCTTGTGGTTGACCCGGAGGTGCAGGCGGGTCGTGTGGCCCATCTGCTGTGAGAAGCAGTGCTGGTGGGTTTTGCTTTGAAACAACCTCCTTCCTGCAGAATGCTTAGCATCCCCCAGTTCTTCAGGGGCTCCTTCCTGCTTCCTTCTCTCCAGTTAACAGCAGGAGATTCCCTGCTGCAGAGGGCAGGTAGGTTATAGCTGCTGTCTGTCATTAAATGTTGGGAGCATCCCTGGCCTGGGCAGCCCACAATGGGAGATGAGAGCACCCACACGTGATGGGCAGATGAGAAACATGCTGGCAGTGGGTAAAGGGCCCTTTGTGCTGCCCAGGGGCCACACGTGCACCCCCAGCACTCAGCTATAGGGGCAGCTCACCCCTGCCTGCCTGCTGCTCCGAGCAGGGCTTTGAATGAGAGCTCTTGGGCACTGCACTGCTTTATTGGCTTGGCATAGCTGAGGTATTTTTGGAGGAGCTGTTGCACCACAAAGTGCATTCCTGCTATTTCAGCCCATCCCTGGGCATGCAGGTGCCTCTCCAGGGTAGAAATGCCACCGTGGTTCTGCTGTGTTTGCAGTTAGTGCTTTCCGCTGCTGCTTGGCTGGGAGCCTTGCAAGAAGGGAGGGAAGGAAGGACAGGCCTGGGTAGCTTTGCTAATGAGCTGCTTTCCCCTTGTGTATTCAGAGCTAGTTGTAAGTCTAAATAAAAACACGATTCAGTCAAAACCTCCCAGCATCAAATCTGAAGCCCTAAGGAAAAGGCCCTGGTGTTTCTGTAACTTTACCCCGTTGCCTTGCAATCTGAACAAGCCCCAGCTGATGTTCTGGAGTTACCTGGGATGCTCACACTGTCCTCT